AACACCCGGCATCTCACTCTTGCTCAGGCTGGTCTTGAACTCTTGAGCTCAGGAAATCCTCCTATGTCAGCCTCCCAAAGTGCACTGCGCCTGGCCTACTTTCACACATTTATATTACACAGTAGGTGCTCTTCAAATGTTATAATAATTGAGATAATGAGAAAAACCTAGCTCATGCTAGATGTTAAATGAAAGAAATGAGTGCTCAGCATGGTAAAGAATTGGACAGAGGAGGATGGGCTTTGTGGGGACGATATCTCAGTGAGTTTTGCTTTTAGAGAACTGATTGTTTAGAGGAATTTTGTCCAGTTTTATTTAGGGTCTGTCTCCTCTAACACTAGCAGTCTTCCAATCCATAGATTCCCAAACTTTGCTGCACATTGGAATCATCTATGGGATCTTTAATGACAGCTAATGGCTGAGTTTTACCCACAGACATTCTGAGTTAATTGGTATTGGATGCAAACTGGGCATTGGAATTTTTAAAGGATCCTATGGCATGAGTGCCTATAATCCCAGCAACTTGGGAATCTGAGTCAGGAGGTTCACTTGAGCCCATGAGTTCAAGACCAGCCTGTGCAGCATAGCAAAACCACCATCTAAAAAAAAAAAAAGGATCCCGTGGTGGGCAGAATAATGGCCTCCCAAAGATTTACAGTGTTCCTAATTCCAGAGCCTATGAATATGTTAGGTTGCATGAAATTAAAGTTGCTAATCAGTTGCTAATAGAGAGATTAACCTGAATTATCCAGGTGGGTACAAGGGTCTTTTAGCTGAGAAAGATGGAGGCAGAAAAGTCCATTGTCAAAGTCAGGTGACTTAAGAAAGACTTAATCAGCCATTGCTAACCTTGAAGAGGAAAGGGGTCTCTGAGTCAATTAATGCCAGTGGCCTCTAAAAGCTGAAAAGGCAAGAAAATGGATTCTCCCCCAGAACCTCTAGGAAGAGGTGAAAAGCCTCCGACAGCTTGACTTTAACCCACTAAGACCCATGCCAGTCTTCTGACCTCCAGAACCATAGGAGGATACATCCATCATGTTGTCTTAGAACACTGAGTTTGTGGTGATCTGTGACCATAGCAAGAGGAAAGTAAAATTGCTTTCCAGGTGATTCTAATGTGTCCCAATGTTCAGGAGTCACTGTTTTAACCTTTGAGGCTTCCCTTTGCCAAGTTGGTCTTCCACCCGGAAAGAAATAATGACTTACTGCGAGAAGAGTCTCTTCTTACCTGGGGGATCACTCCCACTGAGGGCCAGTTGCCCCGCATTGTTGCTTCCCCAGCCAAACGAAGTCCCACAGAGAGATAGGGCGAAGCTGTGAGCCCCTCCAGCAGCCACCTGAGCCAGCGGGAGCCCCTCCAGGGACTGCACCCTTTGCGGGCTGGCTTTGGAAGAGAACTCCTTCCCCAGGCCCAGCTGCCCATGGCTGTTCTTTCCCCACGAAAACACTTGGCTATCTACAAAAGTGAAGAAGAGAAACTCAGCATTGCACGTGTAGTGGAATACCAAATTCAAGTAGAAACGACCACCCCAATTCTACAAATTTTTTCAGCTTTACTGAGGTACAATTGACATAAAAATTACACATTTAAGGCATATCACATCATATACCTTAAATATATGTAATTTTGCTATTCTGATACACACATACATTGTGAAGTGATGGCCACAAGCGGATATTAATAATTAACATATCGTTGTATGTGTGTAGCGAGAATGCTTCAGATCTCTCTCAGCAAATTTCAAGTATACAATGCAGTATTATTAACTATCATCACACGGCTATACCTGTGGCCTCCAGAACTTACTGATTCATCCTGTAACTGAAAGTTTGTAACCTTTGACCAATATCTTCCACTTTCCTCCACCCAGCTATCTCCTGGCAACCACTTTCCCCTCTCTAATTCTGTGAGTTTGACTTTCTTAGATCCTATGTATGAGGGAAATCATGCAGTATTTGTCTTTCTGCGCCTAGATTATTTCACTTAGCATAATGTCTTCCAGGTTTATCTGTGTTCTCCCAAATGGCAGGATTTCCTTCTATTTCTTACCTGCCTAAAAGCTGGCCATAAGTTTCCCTTTGTGAGGCGGTCCCTGCCCTCCCGCGCCAGGGAGAGAAGAGCAACTTGCACCACGTGAGACAGAGAGTTGGCCCTGAGTTGCATAAACAAACCTTAATAAAATAACCCTTTCTTCCATAAGTTTCCCCCAGGTATTTCCTAGTCATTTCCCCATAATTTGTCATCCTTTAAAGCCCAAATTCCCTCTCCTTTGTTAAAATGGTATATAAGTTTCCGAGTCTGACTACTTCTTTTAGTTTCACTTTTCAGTGAACTCCTTTACTCAAAAATGCCAATAAAAATTGGGTGCCCAAAGGGCAGCACCTGTGGCTCAAAGGACTAAGGCACTGGCCCCATATGCCAGAGGTGGCAGGTTCAAACCCAGCCCCAGCCAAAAACTGCAAAAAAAAAAAAGAAATTGAGTGCCTTCTCTCTGTGAATCTGTCTTCTGTTCATTTAATCCTTAGGTCCTCAGACACTACACCTTAAGAGGGTCAAGTTTTTTCTCCCTCATGCTCTCCACCGAGAAATTTAGATTGAGGTTAGATGAAGGATATGGGAGGTTGTTAGAAAAAAATGCAGATGTGCAATTATCCCATCAATAAAAAATAAATACAATTTTTTTTAAAACAAGAATGTAAACTCATGACTTTGATATCTTGATTTTTCTCTGTTTAATCTGAGTAAAATGGACAAACAGCCTCTAGTTTGTCTGGGTTTGCCAGTATGGAGAAGCCATTCAGCATAAAGAGAAAAGTCTGGAAATAAAGCCACTGTCTGAAAGAGCTGGCCAATCAGGTCATGTAAACAGAGAGGGCCCTTTTTGGCAATCAGATATGAATTAGGCACTATTTAGATTATAAAAAGAACAAAGACATTTGGAAAAAAATTAGAACAAGAACATATAAAACCCAGCAGGTTAAAAATGTCTAAATGTGTTAAAATGAACCCCAATGCACTGCAAATCAAGTTATCATTCATATTCAAAAAATTACTTCCTAATGACCCTTAGAGATCCAAAAAGTGTTTTTTACCTTCTGATAATGCCAAGGAATGGTAGTGTCCACAGGAAACTTGTATTATTTTTATACCAGTCAGAGCTGTCACTTTCCTATAATAAAAATGGTTAAAAAATCTGTCAATCCTTTTTCAGGGTGAATTGGCAAGTAGATGATCGATATTTAAAAGAATCTGAAGTAGGAAAACAAGTTTATTTTCTTATATTTCTGTAATACCTTTATTACAAATCCCTCTATTTTTAACATGGCAGCAACATGTAGAGAGGTACAGAACAGAATCCAAAGCAGTATATTTGTGTATAGAAGAAAGAATTTCTATTGGGCATTAATAGATTATATAATGAACTAATTTTTACTCTGTACTTATTGATCTAATAGAAAAATAAATTCCTTCACACACATGGAACACCAACATCTTCATCATCTAATTTAAGCCCTGTGAGATAAAGAAACCATTCAGTTCAATCATATGAAATTGCCATTTTTGTGGATCGAAAACAGGCAATGGGACCCCTTTTAGGAGCCCGCCAGGCACCCCACCAAGAATGTAAATATAGGAAAAATCTTCAGCCCTTTCAAGAGGAGTTCTAGGTACCTCAGTAACCTTGAAAAGGAAATGAGGAACCTGATAAGCAAGACGATAGTAATAACCAAAGTTCCCCTATAAAAACTAAGACAAAAACTTAACATACATTCTTGAATTATTTTTCAGAAACCTCCACCACATGGGAAATTCAGGTAAGAGGGAACAGAGGGCTACACTCTGGCCATAGTTCTTTTTCTAAATTTCTTCGGCATAGGGGTGGGGTGGGGGGGAGGCCTGGAAAGAATCAGACCCATGTTAACAGTGCTTTTCCACTGACACCACGTTTTAGACAAGGCCTTCGCCTTCCTTCCTTAACTAATTGCTAATCGAAAACTCTCTAAATCTACCTAAGACCCCTAAGTCCTCACTTCAGATATCCCGCCCTTGGAGACTAAATCAACACATAACTTCCATGTATTGATTTACAATTTTGCCTGCAATTTCTGCTTTCCTGAATGTATCCCTGCCTTTAAAAACCCTTGCTTGTAAGCCATAAGGGAATTCAGGTCTTAACTATTAGCTGTCCATTCTCCTTGCTTGGTGCCATGCAATAAAATACCATTCTCTCCCATTGCAAATCTTGGCATCAGTGTCTGGTTTTATTGCACGGGGCCAGGGCACCTTAGAAATAATAACTATCAGCAATTTCATATGGTTGAATCCAGTGGAAATCAGAGATCAAATAAGTATTGAGTTGTAAAACTAGATGCAAACCCTGATCTTTTCATCCCAAGATAAATAAATATTCATGCCCCCAAGTTACATTGATTTCTCATAGAATTGAATGACTAGAGGAGGTAACAAAGGTAACTTCTTAGTATCAAAAAGTCTGGACTTGAAAATTTCCTAAGCATATACTTCATAAACACGCAATTCAGAGCTGACCACTTACATACAAACAGTCCTAAGAAGCTGTTTGTGAGGAAATGTGGTATTTCCCCCATTTTACTAAGTAAAATGTTAGGACCCAGTGGCTTATGACAAGCCAAAAGGTTATGTTAGGATAAAAATTTCCTTTTTCAATTTGGGTCTAATGTTTGTAGGCCTGAAAATAACTGACGATAGATTAACAAGAGAAAAAACAAAATTTATTTATACATGTGCTCTGTTGCAGAATATCCCCCAAAGAAGGTTTATACATACCAACTTAATATAAGGGGCATTGTCAGGGTGTCAGCGGGAAACTATGGAGGGTCTACTAGGCCTGGGAATGGACCGTCTGTCTTTACAACATCTGGATTCACAAGAAACTTCCACCGAGGGAGGTTAATGGCAACTGTATTGTTGGAGGCTCCACTTTAGACAGGAAAGGGAGCTCAGATAAGATTTCTTTCTACATCATCTGTAGCTCAAATGTTCTCACTTTAAAATAATCTTTATATTACTCTGGGGGTCCAGAGTAATAGTTATATTATATAGTTATATATATAGTTATATTATATAGTTATATATATAGTTATATTCCATGAGTTAAGATTAAGATCAAAGGATCGGTCTTTTCATTTCACTCTCCCCTTTTTCTTCATGGGACCCTAGTTGAATAATAATTAGAATCGTAAGTTTTTTTCCTACCTTCTTCCCCCACTACACTGGAATCCTTGAGATTAGGGATTGTGTTTGTCATAGTTTTCTTT